AGAGAGAGAGAGAGAGAGAGAGAGAGAGAGAGAGAGAAAGAGAGAAAGAAAGAAACTCAAAACAGGGATTCCAGAAGCCAGACATGAGAGGACAGGGGGCTTGGCTTGGCTTTGGAAATGAGGTCTCACTGCATTGCCCAGGCTGCTTCACTCTTCCAAGTGTTCTGATCAGAAGCAGGCACCACTGATGCCAGCTGCCCAGCCTTTTTCTGACCTTGAGATTCTCTTGAATTGCCGTTTTCAGATAGTGTTCTGACTACAGTTATCCTCTCCCCCCACCCCACCTTGGTTTGTTACAGAAAGCACCTTACCATTCACTCAGAAGAATCTAAACCACAATCACCTTGCTTCAGTCTCCCGAGTGCTTGCATTAGAGGTGGGCACCCTCACTCCTGACTACAGTGGTCATTAGAGGTGGGTACCCTCACTGTCAGGCAAAACTAGAATGGTTGTAGAGATAGAAATGTCTTAACAAATTCTGTTTATGTGAAGAGAACATTGATTTTTATGAACTAATTTAAATGGCTGGAAAAAAATCACAAATGGGAACTAAGCCTTGTATTCATGGTGGTTAGTATTTATTGGCCTTTAACGTGTGTTTGTTAAAGTGCTGTTTTATACCATTAGTTCAAGAGTATTGTGAAAATGGAAAGGATTTTTTTTTTCCTTTTGAGACAAGGTTTCGTATCAGGCCAGTCTCAAACTTGGTATATAACCAAAAATGACCTTAAACTTCGGATTCTCCTGCCTCTACCCCCCCTGCTTTATACCAAGTTGGGTGTGGAACCCGGGGCTTCGGGCATGCTATGCAAATACCCTACACGCTGCCCCCCATGCTACAGTTTCAGATGTCTTCTATCACATAGACCTGTGGCTCAGATCTAGGGCATCTCACATGTTAGACAAAGACTCTGCCCGCTGAGCTACATCCTCAGCCCACTACTATAAATACTCAGTTAATTTATTAATACTGGTTGCTTAGGTACAAATGCCTATAATAATTCAATTATTTTATTTTATTTTATTTTTGGGTTTTTGAGACAAGATTTCTCTGTGTCGCCTTGGCTGTCCAAGGACTCACTCTGTAGATCAGGCTGGCCTCGAACTCAGAGATCTGCCTACCTTTGCCTCCCTAGTGCTGGGATTAAAGGTGTGCACCATCATGCCCAGCAAATGATTCAATTCTTAAAAAAGAAAAAAGAAAAGAAAGAAGAAAATACCCCAAATACTGCTTGAAGATGTAACCTTTTATTTTGGTTTTGTGATTCCCCCTCGCTTGAGACATGGTCTCATATAGCTCAGATTTGCTTAAAACTCCTGATCTCCTGCTGGGGTTGCAAGCATGTACCTGGCTATGACCATTATCAAAGATGAATATTCTTTCTTTCCCATTTGTTGACTCAGGGTCTACATGCCTTTTTGAGCATTGCTAGAGGCTGGCTCGACACCTTGTCTAGGTTTTCTCTCATAATTGGTAGACATTATAATCCTAATCCCCACCCTTATTAAAGAAGGAACTGAGGGCCTAGCAGATGCCCCAGTGGATAAAAACACCACCACACAGACCTACCAACCAACCGGAATTTGCTCCCAGAGCCCATATAAAAAGCCTGGCACCCACCTTTAATTCCAGCATTCCTGATGGCAAGATGATGGGTAGAAACAGTGGGCCCACTAACGAGCAGACCAGATAATACAGAGCACATAGTGCAACAGCCAGAAACCCTGCCTCAGAACCAATGGAAGGAAAGAACTGACTCCTAAAAGGTTATCCTCTGACCTCCCCATACACACTGTAGAATGCACATACCTGCATGTACATACAATGAATAAATATTTTTTTTTAAAAAAAAGGAGTTGAGTTATAACTAAGGTTTTTTTTTTCTGCCCTACCTATAAATAAGAAAATAATTAAGATGAGTCAGA